CAGCTAGATCCCAATTACATAAGATGCATTTCAAATTATGTAGTTACTTCTTGGTGGTTGGGCATGTATTATGTGTATGATTTATATGCAAGACACAAGATATATAGTTAAAGATGGTTTCAACATATAGCTACTGGTTAAATGTGAGCTACTTTAGTGAATTCATTCAGTGAAGACACAAATATAAACATAATAAACATATCCAGTCCAGCAGAGTTTTCTTAACTTTTGTTTTTATTTTATTTTAAATTATTTTACAGTGTATGATGGCACAAGAGAGACTTGGAAGGTTTGCAAAGGGTAATATGAGGCTATACATGAATTTCTTGTTTTTACTCTCAGATTAACTAGACATTATTGGGTTTCATAATAATGCTCTATTTGGAATGTAATGAAGTACCTTCTCTAGTCATAGTTTATCTGCTATTTTAATCAAATAAAATGTCTCAAGAATATGTTAAGAACAATTTATGTATTATCTATACACAAAAATATATCTTTCAGCTTTCTCTCATATCCAAACAGGAATCTTTAGATATACTTGATATTTCCATGAGCTATGTGATTAACAACTACAGCAAAATATGTTGGAGAAAATTATCTTTGAAAGTTTTCCATCAGTGGTTTAATTAACATACAGTGGACAGAAAGCAAACAATCTGTTCAGCCAGACTACTCAAAGATCCCTCCTGTTGCTTTTGTTTTCACTACAGCTAGGAAGGGAAAAATTATATTACATATATCCCTTTAGCTTGTTCCTGAATAATTCATTTAGGTAGTGATTTAAAGAATAATTTAAAATATTTTTATGAGTTTGAAAGCACATGAAGTGCATAGGAATAATTTACAATGTAGATAACCATGCCGTGGTTTTGCCAATTTTTCTCAGTCTTTATTTCTGTAAAACATTCATTCTTGACTTGTTTTATCTTGTCTAAAAATCAGTCTTAAATGGGATCAAAATCTAAGCCAATTTCATACTCCAGTCTTGATGAACCATGGAGTACTGAATTATGAGCATATAGGAATGTTTCTTATTATTCATAACATAACCAGAGAAAAATAATTAGATCTAAAATAGCAACCAAAAGAAAATTCACAGAAGCCAAGCCCTAAAGCTCACAAATTTTCTTATTAAAAAATTCCTCAGTTCCTTCCTTAGATCCTGTTTACTCTTTGTAAATATGAGAGCCAGCAAGTAATCAAGAGACAGGTTTATAAAGTTTAAGGTAGCAAATTCTAGGAAGAGCAAGCATGTCCATGATGGAGACAAACAAATCAACAGCTGTAATAGCTGTTAACATGACCATGAACAAAAAGAAGAAAAAATAAAAAATAAAACACTACAAAAAATTGGGGAGAAAAATCCTCACCGAAACCCCACAACTATCTAGGGACTTACCTTTTTAAGTGCCAAAGTAAGCATGTATGCTTGTCTTATGCAGAAGACCTCCCTGTCTGTGAAATTTACCTTCTTCAGTAATCCTGCTCAAGGGTTATTTTGAATGTTCACTACAAAAATAATTTGACACATTAATCAGACATCCCAAATTTCAACTTAAGTGGTGTTATAAAATAAACTGAGGCATATTAAATATTTCAAGAATTTACCTGAGCAAAGATCGATTGTAATCTGGCAGGGCTGAGCTAGAAATAGTCAAGGGTGCTCCAAGAACAGGAGCTAGGGGAGAGACTTGTATAGAAAAAAAGGCAGAAGCAGAGCAAGAAAACTATTTGATTGGCTTAGGCAGTTATCTGATTCAGAGAAGCCTCACTGGCTGTGTGAGACTGGCTATCCTTTGGTTTTGATTTCTTAACCTGGAGGCATTTGTAGGCCTAGGTTTTGGCTTGCTTGCATAGGCTACTGAGGTATCAGAACCCCCTCAATCTAATGGTCTCTTTGTTTAATTTAATGGTGAAGAACATGGGCTTTATCACCCCTTAGTTTTGAAGCTCTTTTTCATTTGTTCTCTAGGGTAAGAAGGCAGGAGAAAAATGAAAAAGGGAACTCAAGAAGTTGAGAAGTAGACTTTCTATGCAGACAGCCCCTCCAGTGTCACTTAATCTGACTCTCCTGCCCTGTGCAGGGATCACAAGGGTTAGTGTGATGTTACTGGCCCATAAACATCAGGGAAAGGTAACCTATTTTGTCTTATGTTAAAAATCTCTGGAAAGATAATAATAACATTAATATCAGGCAGTTAATATCTGACAATAGCACCATTTCAAAGAAACTAAGAGTTGTTTTGAAATGCTGTTTTGAAGATTTTAATAAAGATTAATTCTTAGAAGTTCTAGGTTGACTTCCTGATTTACATTTTAGAGGAATGACAAACCTCTGTTTGGAGTTGTTCCCTTTGTATGATTTTTTTTTTAAAATCATTTATAAATCCAGGAGCATTTAATTTATTAACTGCATTATATGTTATCTATATTGATATTCTAACAAAATTTTTGTATAGATTTTCAGTTGTTCTGATTATTTATATTCAGATAGCCAGCACCCTCAGTGCAAAACAAACACACACCTCTAAAGTTAACCTAAGTGCTGGGCTAGCAGGTCTTACCTGGGTATTATAAAAACTTTATTGCTTACTTTTGTTGTAAGCTGCCTCATATATTTTTGGTAATGAGGCAGAATATATAAATAAAACAAATAAAATTGCTTTATGTAGCTTTGCCTAGAATAATAGGTCTTAAAGCCTGACACATCCTCAGGAAAAACTGTCTGCTTTCTCAAGTAAGGTATTTTCATTCCCATTTAAATATAGGGCAACCAAAGCACAGAGTTTTGTAAATTATGCTGAATCCCTTATCCAGGAAACCTAACAAAGAATTCCACCCAGGTCTTTTGAGTCCTTATACAGTATTTCTTCCATTACTTGACTCTGTCTGGTCCAATCATCGTTGCTCCAAAGAGACTGTCAACAGTTCATTTATCCATCAGTCAGTTAACAGACATTTATTCAGCACCATTCAATGGCCAGTGGCACAACAGTGTCAAAAAAAGAAATATTTTCAGGGCACCTGGGTGGCTCAGTGGTTGAGCATCTGTCTTCGGCTCAGGTTGTGATCCCGGGGTCCTGGGATTGTGTGGGGAGCCTGTTTCTCCCTCTGCCTATATCTCCGCCTATCTCCCTGTGTCTCTCATGAATAAATAAATAAAATCTTTAAGAAAAAAACATTTTCTATAGTGATTTTTTTGGGGGGGTACCAAATTACTTTATTTGAAGGAATGATACAAACGAAAAAAGTAGATGTTTCGGTACAACTTATAGAAAAGGTAAAGGTAACCCCAACATGCATGCACTGCCTTGGTGACCAGGGGAGTCACCCTGTGGCTATGGGAAGACAGCCTAAGGCTTAGCTCTCACTATCACTCTTTCCCAGGGTGTGCTTGTCAAAGAGATACTCTGCCATGCCAGATTCGGGAGCCCCCATCTTGCGCAGGTTGGTTACATGGTCACCCATTTCTTTGATTTTCTATAGTGTCAATACTCATTAGACATGATTAGTGAATATTTATGTGTGGGTCGGTGGAGGGGACCACGATCAACCTTTTATATACATGAGATTTTTCAGCCTTACAACAACTCTGAATTGTGCATGGTACTACATTTTTCAGGCTCTTGGGTTTCTCTTTGTGGAGCTCTTGGCCAATTTTGTCTTTGTGGTTCTTTTCAGCTCTACTATTTTATGAGCCCATGGAAAAATCTAGATGACCAACGTTATGATGGTACTTTCTCTCTGGGCTGTATCCACCAAGACATGAAGCACTGGGAGATCTTTTAATCTCATGATGAAACCAAAGAATATCCTTTCTGTCTAGAAGAATCCTTAGTACCTTTCTGAGTTGAAAGGGAAATACTGTAGACCGTTTGTGTGCGATTAGTAGTGGTAGCCTTAACTTAGTTATCAGAGTTCTAAGTAGTTGATGCAATGGTATTATAAGTCTCATTAAATACATTTTCATTTCTTGGAATGTTCTCCTATTGAGGGCAACATCACAGTTATAATTAAATCACTGCTCTCTTAGCCCTTTTTGAACCTGTATCATGCCAGTTATAAAGCCTGTCAATTCATATCTCTGGGTAATAGTTGTGTAGAAGAAGGCTGTTCTTCTTGGTCAGAAACTGAATTTCCCATACTTGAGATACACCTTCCCCTGCTGACCTACTGAAATGAAAGACCAGGAGTCATGATTAAATCTTATTTTCCCTCCTGTAGTAGTAGGATGAGCTAGGTCAGCAAGGCCAGTCCCTGCAGATGGCTTTAAAATACCTTTGTGATTTGGTCTCTTTGCTTTCCCATCCATTTCTCTAAGTGCCTATCACTATCATCCTTCACCACCCTGACAAGAGTCCAAGGTGAGAACGGCACAAATGAACAAGAGCATTTGTGATGCCTCCTGAGGGTGTTACTTATTAAATGAGGTAGGCAATGAACCAAATCTTACTTGTGAGCTACAAGGCAGGTTAACACATTTACACAAAGATCATTCCATATATTATTTAACCCATTCGAATACATTGTTGTCTTTCGCTGTCCAGCAGAACTTGTGTGAAATGAACATAAACTCGCAAGTTAATACTGTCTGACTTTTATTTTCATATGTGCTAAGAGTCTCTAGGTTTCATTCCTTTGTTTGGATTGTAGCTTGTTTTCTGAGAACAGCTAGAGAATGTTTATGAAGTGTGTGTGTGTGGAGGACGAGGAGGGAAGGGAATAAAAATGCATTGCTTTAGGACTACACATCTGTTTTAGGGACTCTGCTAGAGCTCCACATTAACCATTGTCACGACTTATGGCATGTTTTAAAATTTCATTCTACACAGAGATGTTCATACCAACTCAAAATATTACAATTAAACAGATTTCATTGTTAGGAGTTAGTTTCCTGTCTTCATGACTGGCAAAATTATTTTTCTGCTCTATTAGCTAAGCAATGTGTATGACTCATAACAAGTGGCAACTCATTATTTTATTTCTTGTTCAAACAGATTGGCAATATCAAGTTGCTCAGGTCTTCCCACAAACAGAAGAGGAAGTGGAAGTGGACACACATGCCTTCAGCCACCGGTGGAAAAGGAGCCTGGATTCTCTCAAAGCTGTAGACTCGAACCGTGCAAGCGTGGGCCAAGACTCCCCAGAGCCCAGAGGCTTCACGGACCTGCTACTGGATGATGGGCAGGACAACACCACCCAGATTGAGGTAGGTAAATAACCTGGGTAACTGAAATGGATTGAGGAATCTATTTTCTGTGAGGCACCCAGCTTCCATCTATGTATAGTCTCTACCTTCAGCTCAATTGAGAGCTTTATGATTTTTTATAAGGATCAATTTAACTCATTAATAAATAATTAATTAATATTTAGTAATTCAGTAATCAGTAATTATAACTATATTAAATAAGTAAATACATAGTAACTAAGCCATTTAATCACCCATGAGTCCATTTACTCATGAAATGTACAAACATTGGCTAGATGTGGTGATGACAGTGAGGAGACTCAAAGCAGAACAAGATACAGCACCTGCTTGCAAGGAAATCCCTGTGTAACAAGATGAGCTCTATGCTATGTGATATGTACAAGGATATATTCAAGCTGTAGTGTGGCATGGAGGAGGGAGATGACCTGCTTGGGATTGGGGGTGGGCCATTGTCAAAGACTCTTGTCCTGGGAGTGGGCCTTTAGGCAGGGCCTTGGCAGATTGAGAGGAGTTCACCAGGTTGATATCCTGTCAGTAGTGAGAAAGATTGCTAGCAGAGTGAATTGCACCTGCAATGGCTAAATCTTAGAATGCTAGGGCACCCTGGAGAGTCTCATGGAGTGACCTCCTATCCCAGTTTACTGGTGGTGGAGTGTTTTTCTGGGGTATAGCATTTTCAGTGCTAAAAACAAGGCAGTTCTGGGCAAACTGGAATGGTCAGTCACTCTGTGACTGTAAACAATTCTTTGTTATGGTTGGAGCTATGAAGTGGAAGGCAGAGGGTTGGAGATGGGTTTGAGGAGTATGGAAGTTCGCTGAGGACACATTTTAGTCAGACTCTTGGGTTGCCCAGAGGCCTCAAGGGTTATATTACATTGCTTAAATTTCCATAGTCCTTAGCATTGCAAATCATAAAACATGATCCTGTTAGTCTACTAGACCTAACGAAAACAAACAGGTCAATCTTATGGAAAAAAACAAAAACCACCCAAATGAGAATAGAAGCCATTTATTCAGTTTGCTCTAGAGAGAGTCAACTACCATCACTTCCCTCTGGCAGAAACTCAGAAGCAGGCAGGGGAGTGGGAAAGTTTCTCACTTAAAAAAAGGAGAGAAGGATGGGGCATCAGGTTGGCTCAGTTGAATAAGCACCTCACTTTTGGTTTTGGCTCAGGTCATGATCTCAGGGTCCTGAAATCCAGCCCTCCGGTCAGGCTCTGAGCTCAGCGCTCAGCGGGGAATCAGCTTAAAGATTCTCTCCCTCTGCTTCTCCCCCCACTGTGCACGTGCACACACGTGTGTGTGTGGGGGGGGGGCGCGCTCTCTCTCTCAAGTAAATAAATGCATCTTTAGAAAACAATAATCTTCAGGTATGCTCTCCTTGGAAGTTGTTGGCACAGAGAAGCTGGAGATGGTCTAATTAGAGGCAGAGCATCTCACGTGATTGATTTGGGGAGCATATTTGGCTTTTACTGAGTTGGACCTAGGGACCAAATATAGGAAAGTCCTGCCCATTCCGGGCTGATTGCCACTGAGGTTATGTTTTGGCTCCCTGGACTGGTAGAGGTTGGAGACCAGAGTTCTGTTGTCATTGGCCTGTTATTGGCCTGTCTGGCCATTGTCTGTTTGAATATTCTTTCTCAGTCTGAAGGTTTAGTTCCTCTTTTCTCCCAAGTGACAGGTTTACACTTTTTCAGAACGAGAGACAAGATTCTTTTTTACTGCTCTGAAGTGCTCATTATTTAGGAAAAGAACTCAACTCCATGAAACAGACACTACATCGTTCTCCAAATAGTATCAAGGCATCATTTTGTTCCTGCATAGTAAGAGGAATCTTCAGAAGATCTGAAGCACAGGCCATTGGGATTCTGTGTATGTGAGAAGCCCAACAATTTTCAAAACCCCTCTCCATCCCCTTAGCTAGTATGTGACTCTGTTGGTCCCTGGCTGCCCTAGCCAGGTCCCTTAACAGGCAACAGAGGATGTGCCAGGAGCACAAGTCCTATAATATCTGTAAGAGGCTATTCTGACTCCTGCAGAGTGCCTGCTATTTTGGCAACAGTGTTGTTATAGCAACTTGAAGAGGGCAACCTAATTCTTCCCTGAGTACTCTTTAGCTGGGCTGCAGCATGAAGAAAGGAGATGAACAGAAGCAGAGGTGTTTACATCTCTGCCCAGAACTGATGGCTTACTGAGATTGAAAGGGGAGAACACACATTCCTAGAAGTGTGTGGTCTCTATGCAGGATGCTGAATTTTCCTCGTCATTCATAAAATAGAAAATCCCTTTGCTCAGGGATGTATTAACAATCCTCAAAGTACAATCCCAGTTGTTATTATAGAAATGATCTTGTTATTCAGCTAGTTTTTCTCTTTTTCTACCTTAACAGAGGAGATCACATAATGTCAGTGATTTTGAATCAGTTAAATGAAAGAGGAAGGATGGTGAATGGTATAGGGAGCTCTGTGCTGGGTAACCCATTGGTGCTAAGATCTGCCAGGCACTGTATGGATATCATCTTGCCTGGTCCTTATGTCAGCGTAGTGAGGTTTGTGTCTCCAGGTTCACTGGGCATCTCAGTAACTTCTACATGAGGGCAATTTCTTCCCTAAGCTCTTCCATTAATGAACAAAGGGGCTGGTATTTAAACCTAGGCCTGCCCAGCTCCCAAGATTTGTTCTTTCTACTTGATTTTGCTTCCTCTAATGTAAAGATAAGTAAATGATACTTTGCTTATGTAATGATTGTGGACCATGGCAACACCCGCATATTGATGTGAGAGTAACTCCAAAGTTTTAGTCTGGCTGGAAGGAGACTTCTCTTGAGGTTAGATTTCATAACAAGATGGCCACTTTTATTTGAAGAATTTATTTGTTCTGATGGGGTTCTGGGGATCGGTGGAGATTATTGGGGACTAAAGTCCCATAAGTCACTCTTTGGCACTACCTCTAGTTCTGAAAACAAAAGCCTACATCTGAAACTTCTCTGCAAAGTTTATTTATCCTGGCCCTTGAAATGGCATTTTTGAACATTGTTGTGTCTCTTTTGGGGAAAATATTTTTGCCTGATTGAGTTAAACAGAAATAAGGAAGAAAGGAACCAAATTGTTATAGAGTGGCTACTCTGTGCCGGGCATTGTGACAAGGTCTTTCTTATCTCTTAGGAATAAGCATTTTGATTTATATCGCTTAATATAAGCAATGAGCATGAAAGATTATGTGTGCTTTTTCCTTTAGATGCTTCCAGGGTTGATGTCAAGAATCAGAATTATTTTGTCTCAGAGTCCTGACTATAGTGGTGGCTGTGAAAATAATTTGTATCCCAGTGAGATTTCAGCCACCCAGAATGGCGTTCCTGTGTGCCTGTGCTCTTCTGCTTCTGCCATTGTCTAGACTTGATACCCCACTTTCACCAAAGACAAAAACAAAAGACAATAGCATATTTACTATTTTGGCACAAATTCATTCAGACATAAACAAAGGCTGTTATTCTCTTAACTTGGTGACAGTATTTTTTCTGGCTCTACACAAGAACAGAAAATGGAAGGACTGGAAAACTGAAAAATTCTTCCAGTTGAAGTTTCTTGTTGTTGTTGTCATTGCCTTCTTTTGTTTTTTTTTTTTTTTTTTTTAATATTCTTCTCATGAAGATGTAAAGATGTTTGAAAATGTTTGTATTTACTGATGAATAAGTAGGGGCTCAATAGTTGGCAAATGCCTCCGTTGATCTGAATGTTGACTTATGCCAGACCTTTCTTTGTTCTTGTATTTTCTCTGTCCATGTAGACGTGTAACCACTTGGCCACATAAGAACAGTGCCTTCTTCTGATTGGTGGGTATTAAGAGCAGTTCACTGGTGTGCTACTTTTTGTAATTCCTTTAGGAATACAAGGGCTTCCAAGAATTTTATGTAAGGCTGAATCTCATTCATGATTCAGCCGTGTTCGAGCAGCTTTCAGTGAACCCCATGACCCAGGACACATGCATGGATGAGCAGCACACGTACCTTCACCTTGTTGCCGACTGTTCCTTTCTTCATTGGCACAGAGCTCTTGCAAGATCAGTGGCACCTTATGGAAAGGGGAGAATCTGAGCAGCATTTGGTGAAAATACTTGATCCTCATGAAGATCAGTTTCACCAGCTGACCCCTGGTCACAGTGTCAGTAACTTACAGTTCTTTGCTTTAGAAATCTGTCACAAATTCCTTCCTAACACACTGAACCAAACATGGAGTTTCTGTCTCGTATTCCCATGAGATATTTTGAGCTTCATTTTCCTTGTCTTGGGACAATGAAAATGTTTCTGAAAAGGATCGTCAACTATGATTTTCTTTCTTCCTTTATTTTTATTTTTATTTTTATTACTTTATTTATTACTTATTTATTTATTTATTTATTTATTTATTTATTATTATTTATTTATGCTTTGATTCAAAAGCACCGGGATGACTTGAAGAAAGGAATATTTTCTAATAGTGCTTATGGATCATATGAGTGTAGCTCCATGATCCAGACTGACTCAGAAATTGTGAGTGAGCCCAGTGCCTCTCAGGTGTTGCATATGTGGCCAGACAACAGGCCACACTGAGTTGTAGAGAGGCCACAAAGCAGATTTTGCTATTGATTTTGAAGATATAAATGTTCTGGAATATCTTAGATTAAATTGAGTTGCCTACCAACAACATGTCTTGTGGATTTCTCATTTGGTACCAAATTAAAAATTGCAGGCATACCCAGCAATTGTGTCATCTATGCTCACATTAAAGCTCTTATCTGTGGAGGGTATAATTGAGAATGGTCAGCAAATATGTGTGCTGAATATAGCTAAAATCCAGAAACCAACTGGTTTTCTTCTAGATGCTTATGTAAAAATTCTTTTGATTTTCTGCTATAGCTCATTTCAAATTGTGTCTGCATCTTATTTTTACAAATTTTGCAACACATTTCTTTAAAAAGTTAGCAATTGTTAATTGCTGCACATAAGGTTATTATATACCCTCT